TCTGTATCGGCAAGTACTCAGATCCAAGTATCGGTATCGTATCGGTTTGAAAAAAATTGGTATCGTTGCATCCCTAATAATACAACTCCTAAAGGGGAAAAGATTTTTTCACAATAAAATAAAACATTTTTAGAGCATCAAAATTCATTTCAGAAAAAATTTTGATCTACATATCTATACTTGCAGCTTCTTAAATTTAACATTCGGGATTATTCACTGTAGGCCCAGAAATCAGAGCTAGCTCATCAGATCCAAGGGTGACATCAGCTGACACTCTTTACAGGAGACTCCAGCTGAACTCTGTGGAGCCTGATCTCAAGTTTTTTAAGTCTGACCCTGAAACCAGAAGAGGATCTTTCTGTCTCTGCAGATTCATTGTGATCCGGGGATTTCAGTTCTGCATGCTCACACTGATGTTTGCAAAGAGCAGAATGTTTTGTGAATGTTTTTGCACATTGGTAACAGTGAAACGATTTATTTACAGAGTGGGATCGCTTGTGTTCAGAGTATGAACTGACATTCCTGAAGTTCCCTCTAATGTGTGTACGTTCATGAAGGTTACGACTATTTGAATGTGAGAAGCTTTTGTCACAGTGTCCGCACTTGTATGGTTTCTCTCCTGTGTGGATTCGTATATGCCCTTTAAGCTGACCTGCACTAGTAAAGGATGACCCACATTGGTCACAGAGGTGGTCTTTAACCCCACTGTGAATGAGTTCATGTTTTTTTAATGTACTTGGAGTGGTGAAGCCTTTCCCACATTCTTTGCAGTAGTTCATTTTGTCTCCAGTGTGTCTACGTTGATGTCTTGTTAGGCACTCTTGATGATTGAAAGTTTTTCCACAAAGGTCACAGCGAAACATTTTCCCACCACCACAGTGACGACAAGGTTGAGAACTGGATCCATCTGTGTCACTCTGCTTCTAAACAAAGACACAGAGACAGTGTAAGTCAGGGAATTGCTTCAACATTTTTATCCTGAAAATCGCCTGAAATAAAGAGCATCTCTGCCAAAGTCCAATTACATTTTACTGTTTACCTTGCAACATTCAGCTTACTGGGCTACAATTACAATAAGAGTATTGTGACTAGAAAAGCAGTTATTTAGTTGTTTTTTATGATCATGAAACACAAAAATAATAACTGAAGTCTGATGAACCTCTCAGCACTACCTTTCCATCCATTAGATTTACTAACATGCTAACACAATTTAATGAGCAAAGTTGTTCCAAACAGTCAGGCTAAAATAACAACACAAAATAAGAAAATATGAATACATACCTCACAGTAACTGCACTTGTAGCGTTTCTCTCTGGTGTGAATCTGTTGGTGGACTCTCAGGTACCGTGGAGCTTTAAAGGTTTTATCACACAGGTCACATTTATAAAGTCTCTCCTCAGTGTGGCTAAACATGTGGTATTGTAAGTGTGTGGCTGTTTTAAAAGTTTTGCCACACTGATCACAGCAGTAAACATCAGTGTGTCCAGTGTGAATGCGTAGGTGTCTATTTAGGTAACTTTTAAAACTAAAGGTTTTACCACAAATGTCACAGCTATATGCCTTAATCCCAGAGTGGATAATTTGATGCTTCTTTAACTTGCTACGATAAGAAAAAGCCTTGTCACAATGATAACAGCTGTATGCTTTAACTCTACTGTGGATGACCTGGTGCCTTTTTAAGTGTCTAGGCTCAAAAAAAGACTTTCCACACAAGTCACAATTGTACGATTTAACTCCAATGTGGATGAACTGATGGGTTTTTAATTGTCCACGCTGAATAAAAGACTTTCCACACAAGTCACAGCGGTACGGTTTAACTTGAGTGTGGGAAAGATGGTGTCTTTTTAAGCTTCCAGGCTCGCTAAAACACTTTCCACACAATTTACAGCTGTACGCTTTAACTCCACTGTGGATGAGTTGGTGTGTTTTTAAGTGTCCAGACTGATTAAAGGACTTTCCACACTGATCACAGCTGTATGGTTTAACTCCACTATGGATGAGTTGGTGTCTCTTTAATTGTCCAGGCTCAGCAAAAGACTTTTCACACTGATCACAGCCGTATGGTTTAACAGCATTATGGATAAATTGGTGTCTCTTCAATTGTCCGGGAAGGGTAAAAGACTTTTCACACTGATCACAGCTGTATGGTTTAACCCCACTGTGGGTGAGTTTGTGTGTTTTTAAGTGTCCAGGCTGGGTAAAAGACTTTCCACACTGATCACAGGTGTACAGTTTAAGTCCAATGTGGATGAGTTGGTGGTTTTTTAAGCTTAGCGGCCGAGTGAAAGACTTTCCACAGAAGTCACAGCTGTAGGGTTTAACTGCACTGTGGATGAGTTGGTGTCTTTTTAAGTGTCCAGCCGAGGTAAAAGACTTTCCACACAACTCACAGTTGTAGGGTTTAACTGCACTGTGGATGAGTTGGTGTGTTTTTAAGTTTCCAGCCTGGGTAAAATCCTTCCCACACTCATCACAGCTGTATTTTTTCTCTCCCTTTCTTCTGTGAGGTTTGTCGGCCTCCTGAGAGCGCTGACTTCTCGCTCCATGTTGGTCCTGCAGTGACAGAGATACAAACAGAGGCAGTGAGTGAAATGCAGTCGTGGAACAAACTGAAACTCCATTAGTGGAATCAGAGAAAACAAAAGCACTGTGGGAAGGTGTGTTACCACCACCTTCTGGTGACAGTATCACATTACAATGATGAGCTACAATGAGAGTTGGAATGCAAATGACATTATTGAAGAAATATTGATCACGGGAAAAAATCTTTTACTTCATAAAAATTGTGAGTTCAACTGATGATGTTTTTTTTCAATGTGTGCTGATAAAATATGATCTTTGTATTTTCTTGTAACTTCTGTGTGTGATATATTGGTCCAAGAGGGCGATTGGACGAATATATTATTTATTTATGTGCACCCAAATGCTTTTTGATGGAGCTGCAAAAGCTGGTGATAGCCTAGCATACTCAGCCGGATGGTGAACATCTACATGCTCGTGCAAGTTAATCATGTTTGAGTACTTTGCTCAAACTATACATCTGCACAAGCAGCACACCACCTTGGTTACATTCTGTATGTATGGAGGAGCCCGGGATGGAAAAGATAAAGCTGCTGTTAACAACCAGCTGTGCACACAGTTTCAATAACAGTGTAACTGAGATATTTTTCTCACCTCCTGTGTTGAAGTCATTGTTTCCTCTGTAGTGGCTGAGCTGAGTCCAAATGGCTGAAACTGTTCCTCTGCTGCTCCACCAGACTCTTCTCCTCCTGTTACTCAGCTGGGACACAAAAAGTATAGATATGTATTTTATCTCTGACAAGAAGAAGCAGAGCAAATAAACATTACTACACTCAGTGACAACAATACCTATGAAGCTTCAAGGTGAAACCCCAGAAGCAACTACAAAAAGAAAGTCATCAGCTGCCTAAAAGAAATTGAAAGGGAAAAAACCACTAACCGCCCTGCATACAACCGCCTTTACCCAGAGGATGCTGCACCCTGTATATATGAACTTCCACAGATACACAAAGAAGGAGTCCCACTCAGACTCGCTGAAGGGCAAAGTTCAAATTAATGTTGCCAAATCACAACAAAATGATTATATTAGATTTATATCAAATTATATCAAATATGACAAAATGTGGATTTTACAGCAGCAACAATATTGTATCTCTACAGTTTAAATATTTAATAAGCTTTCTGCCAGCACAGAGAGATTAGTCAAACAAATTGGATCATCATGAATACTTTATTTTATATTTATTACTTTATTGTTTTATTCTTGTTACTTTATTATTAAAGCACAAGGAATAAATAATAAGGGGAGTATTCTGCAACAGCACCATGATGCAAACTTGTGGCCATATTGTATACAGTACCCTGGAGAAAGTATAAAATGTCACTTTAAGCGTGTGTGTTTTATGTGTATAGATTTTTTTTTAAATCATTACTCATTATATAATATTGTCCAGATATGAACTATAAAGACATGAGTAGAAAATGGTTTGAAGAGCAGCTGTGTGAGGCTGCTAAAGGCAGTGGATCAGTCACCAACTGGAATAACAAGAGCACAGGTCACAATAACACATGTGCCAGTTGTTGCATTGCAGAGGTATTCAAGGATAAAAACAGTAATAATCACAGCTGCAATGTTTTGGTTCTATAATAATATATGTACAATCAGAACTGCCCCCAGCAAACATCTCACATGTTTACATCTGCGCTGTAACTGCAATAATTTAATCAACCGATTCGCACTACAATCTGGGTTTGCCTCTTATCAGTAGATACTTTTATTTATTTTAATAACTGTACAGTACTGTTTATAGTAACCATTGTCCTTGATGTAAAAATTTGCTGTTACAACCAAATTTCCCCTTGTGGGACAATTAAAGGATTATTCTATTCTATTCTATATTTTTCTATTATTATTTTATTATGGATTAATTTTGTTTAATCAGCCACCATCTCTCCTATGGACTTTTTAATGTCTGCAGTCCCAGATCAACACAGCCCTGTTCTCCATGACTATCAGCAGCAGGAGCAGCAGCAACATTGTTCCCATCAGGTAAAACGTGGGCTACGTTAGCTTTTTATTGTCCCCACCTGATGACAGTGATATAGTGTGATGTTACTCCAAATTAGATTCTTGATGAATGTGTGTTGTTGTTATTCAGCCTGGTTCTATGTGCCCCTTTTTAAACTCTGATCCCTGTACGGCTCTGGTTAAAATTAAGTAAAGATGGCAGTCAAAACAGTGAAGCTTAGCTGAGCTAAGCTGTGATGTCATCAAGTCGTTCAAATTATAGAGTGATTGTTATCCGGTTCTCAGGGAGGTCCAGAATCCTCAGTCAACTTGCGAAGTGCGGACTTGCGGACTTGAGTGTTCAGAAACGATCTAGACAGTAACACAGATGTGTAGCATCGCCAACTAGCGAGCAACAAGCCTCTTACATAGTGCGTATGCTAACAGCTAGCCTAGCCAACGACTTAGCAACAGAAGCTACAGAGTGATGTTGTATAAAACTCCAAGATGTTATAGTGCGTGCCTTGTAATTGTGCCGACGTGGTATTTACCTTAGTTTAACGAGTCGTCAGGCGCAGTAAACACATCAGTATATAATGCGCTATCAAGGGCACACACACAAGAGCACCTGCAGCCACTGAGGAGCGACCGCCACACTAAACAGAAACACGTGACCTCCACAGTAACCGGAAACACGTAACTCATGCTGCTAATAAATACGTTTGGTTCTAAGTGTTTTTTTTTAACACTCTGGTTTTGTTAAAAAAAAAAAAAAAAAATCACCATTCCTTCAGTTTGTTCGTGGCCAAAAGTGTCCATGTGTTGTTTTTGTTTCTTTGCTACTTTTTCTGCATAAAGGTTTTTTCATAAATATAAACTAGTCATTACTTACATTACTTACTTACATTTTTAATCATTCAAACACCTTTTTCTAGTACAATGCACTTGTTTGAAGACAACCTAAAAACTCACCATTTCATATATCAGCAGTGCTACAGGAAAACAGTGGTCCCTCACGCGGTTCATCTTTTCCCTTTGAGTCTGTTTCCCTGGGGCTTTTCCCCTGTTGTGTCTTATATTGAAAGAACTATTTACGCGTTACCATAGCGACCAAAGAGCATCAAGAAGCTGAGAGGAAGTTGTTACTCTCTGTCAGAGGTGGGTCGAGTATCCAAAAATTGTACTCAAGTAAGAGTAGCATTACTTTAAAATATTATTACTCAAGTAAAAGTGAAAAGTAGTCGTCAAAAAAGTTACTCAAGTAAGAGTAAAAAAGTAGCGAGTAACTGTTTGAAATGTCCGATTTATTTTTTTAAATAAATGGTATCTGACAAACAAAAATAAATAAATATACAAATTTTAGTATTTTCAATACTTATAGCTTACTCTATTTAATCTGTAAAATATGTATACACACACACACATAGAAAAACATATTTAGTATACACATCCAGTGATGCATATACTATTATTATATATTGTACATATATTTATTAGTCTCAGATTTAGCCATTCTTCTATTTTGCTTGTTTTATGTTATTGTATTTTCGCACAACTCTGCTGCTTGTGAAGCTCGCACACAAGAATTTCACTCGCATGTACTGTACCAGTGTACCTGCACATGTGATGTGACAATAAAAGTGATTTGATTTGATTTGAAATGTCCGATTTTTTTTTTAAATAAATGGTATCAGACAAACAAAAATAAATAAATATACAAATTTTAGTATTTTCAAAAGGAATATATGTAAAAACATCAACAAAATAAGGCACAATTCTAATTTCCAGATTTCAGGTTTTCACAACATAAAGCTTTTTTTCACCAATACCTACAGTAAATAATATAAATATATAAACAGTGCAAACTATTTCCAGTGACAAGATGTGCTGTAAACTTTATATTCATTTTTGCTCCAAATGGCACAGCAGCCTCAGAGAAAACAGAACGAGGCATCTTCAACATATGTACATACAAGGCAGCTCAGTTTACCATAAATTGTATGGGTGTGCATCTATTTCTATCAGTTTCCACCAAAATGAGCTGGTATCTAGGACAACATCTTCTTCATTCACTTTCATAGCCTATACCTGTGACAGCTGCAGACTCCAGCACCCCACAGCTCTGAACTGGATACATGCACATACATAGATAACTGGAGTTTGGGTTCAGATTTCTTGTCTCAGGATGATCAGGAGTTGAGGTCCACACAGCTCTCTGAGGACTCGGTAGAAAACTGTGGCAGCATTCGTGTGATTGTTTGCTCCCCTTAGCTCACGGTAAGAAGAAGACAGCTTCAACCGTCTGTGTGTTGACAAACTGGAACACACCTTCACCGCTTTTTCTTGCTAGTAACGGTGTTGTAATGGCAGAAAAAGCAATTAGTTAAGTTACTAGTCACTGAAAACAAGTACTGGTGTTAGTACCACTGTTTATTTTAATGCCATTATTCCCATCACTGCTCATGACCATAAATACATGTTGCAATTTTGGAGTCTATTGAAGCTGTAAGAGGGCAAGAGGCAGGGTACACCCTGGTCAGATCCCCAGACTGAAAAGAAGAGGATCTTCAGGCCTGGAAATGGCTTGAGAAGGAAAATTTGTTTTCGACTTCTCAGTGGTTATTTCAGTAACTCCCATCTCCGCTTCCTATGGGCAAACCTCATGTTCAGGGCTCACCTCGCCCGCTTACGTCTCCCCACCTGTGAATATAAGTAAAAGTTATATAGCATTTTTCACAGACAGATGTGACAAAGTGCTTCACAACAGAGGAAACAAAAACACAATACAGTCATAAATACATCATTAAAAAGTCTGGTCTAATTAAAAGCCTTTTGAAATAAAAATGTCTTTAGCTGCTTTTTGAAGGTCTTCAGAGACTGTAGAAATAGAGGAAGTGCATTCCACAGTCTCTGCGCAACAGATTGGAAAGATTGGTCCCTTCGAGTTCTGAAACAAGTGTGGGGGACCACTAAAAGGTTTTGATTCCATGACCTCAGGTTATGAGAAGAGTTGTGTATACGAATCAAATCAGCAATAAAGGAAAGGGCTCTAAAGGTTAAAACTAGAATTTTAAAATGAAGCCAGTGTAGTGACTTTAAAACGGGAGTTATATGGGCTCCAGTTGTCTCATTGCAGAGTTTTGCACAACCTGAAGATGAGCCAGCCCTTTCCTGTTGAGACAACTAAACAGATTATTGCAATAGTTGAGTCTTGTAGACAAAAGCATGGATATCATCTCAAGTTCACTCGTTGACACCATAAATCTAGGTTTTGAGATGTTCCTCAAATGAACAAAGCGGGTTCTTACTGTCTTATTTAAATTTCGCTCCAAAGTAAACGCTTAATCAAAAACAACACCCAATATCAGCCTGTTGTCTCGTCCCACAGCAGATTAAAATAATGACCTAGGAATTGAATTTGAAAAAAATCGAATGTATTTTTAACATTACTCATTAGGATTGTCCCAATAAAGATGAAATAAATAAGAATATTAAGTAATACAGATTAAAGTTCCAGTAGTATTTAAACAAAAAAAAGTTTGCAAATAGGAAATTAAAAATGGTCTCTGG